AAAACTATATTTAGTATCATATTTTCTATTAATTTATTTTATTATAAAACTTATATATATCTTTTTAATAATACTTTTTTACTTAATTATTTTATTATTTTTTGTATCTTTTTTTTATATTCTATAATCTTTCTCTTGGATTTAACTTTTTTATCTCTACTTTTATTTAATTTAATTTATTTTTTAACAATTATTCTTTAACTCTTTTTAACTATAACTTTTCTTTATCTTTATCTAATTTAAGTTTGTATTATTTTTTTTTTTTTTTTTTTTAACATGAATTGGCATGCTTTTATTAGGTTATACTAGAAATACATTATATTATTTACATATATAAAGCTTAGATTCTTTTAATAAATCTAGCTATTTTTAGCTTTTTTTTTTTTTATGCAATGTGCTTAAAATTTTAATATTTTTCTTTAACCTAATTTTTATTACTCTTTTAATTTTTTCTTCAGAATTGACAGTATTTCTCCATCTTGCTTGGGTATACCATAGTCAGATTTTATAAATAACTGTCAAGTGCAACCATGAGGCTGTTTTTCATAGCTGTGTATTTGAGATATTAGATATAGTAAAAATTTCTTTCATTGTAGTAGGAGGGGCTTTTTCTAATGAAACATTTAGAAGCTTGTAGCCATAGGTCCATATAATTTTACTAATTCTACAGTCTAAAGCGAAGTATTCTATAGTTTGTTTTTTATCCTTACAGCTAGAACAGCTTTCATTTATATTTGGATTAATATATATCAGCTGATAGCCAAGTAGAAGGGCTCTGTTTTGCAACCTCCAAAATATATCTTTTTTCTTATTTTAAATTTTTTTAGTAAATAACCAGTTGAAGTGATCTATTGAGTGTTCTTGTACTTCTAATAGTGATTGAGAGGCTGTTAGCTTTATCAATCATATTCTTAAAAACACTGTTGCTTTCTTAACTGAAAATTGATTTTCTGACTTATTCAATATTTCTAGCTCTAATAATGACCATAGCCAGTTGTTATTTGTAATAACTTTGCCTCCAGTCTCTTTCAAGCTATTAGATAAGGCTTCCAAGCATCTGGCCAACCCTTTATTTTTATTGTACTTTGATTCAGTGCTTTTAAAATTGTTATTTTTCTTTTATTTTGCAACTGTTGTAAGATTGCAATTCTTTCATGCTCCACCCAAAGGTTATTGGATATTAGCAATTTAATCTAGATGGAGGTAAGCCTAGAGTCTAAAATGTTCTTAAGGACTAGAGCTGCCAACCCTCCTTTCTCAAGATTTAGCTAAAATGTTGAGTATTTAGATAACATTTTTGACTTGTTCTTAATCCATCCTGAAATAAGAACATTAATTTTGTTGAGCTGCTTTCTGCTTGGAGGAAGCAGATATGCCAAGTACCAGATTTTAGAAATTAATAGTGCTTTGGCAATTAGAATCTTTCCTTTAAAGAAGAGATTTCTCAGTTTAAGCTTTTCAATTTTGTATTTAATACTATCTGTTAGTTCTTTCCATAATCATTTTTTGGGGTTGCCTCTTGAGTCAACTTTGTATCCTAAAATTCTGAGCAAATCATCACTACTAACTATTTTAAAATTTTGTTAATTGGATAGTTTTTCACTACATGCCATGCTTGTAAGAGGAATTATAATAGATTTGTCTTGGTTTATCTTGGCATTAGTTCCTTTCTGTACTTTTCAAGTAGTGTTAAGACTTTATTCCAGTTTGTAGATAATCCAATTCCAATAGTTAAGTTATCCGCATAAGCTACTGCCTTGAAAAGTTAATTTCTAAGTTTGATTTCTTGAATCTTTTCTTGAAGTTTAAGAATTAAAGAGTTGAAAGCAAGAACATATAGTAAAGGTGATAGTAGGTCCCCTTGCCAAACTCCTCTTTCCACTCTTATAGGCTCAGATAATCTCTTTGAATCTGCAATATATGCTACCTGTAAGCTAAAAAGTGTATTTACAATTTTGATAAAGCTGTCATCAAAGTTTATTTTTTCTAGTACTTGTATAATAAACTTGTGACTCATTCTATTAAATGCCTTTTGTTGATCTAATAGTATAAGCCAGTGTGAGAGAAATTGGTTCTCTTGGTTTCTCAAGATAGTAATTATATCTAAAACTGTATCTACTATTGATCATTCTTTTATAAATGCTTGTTGTAATAGACCAATAATTGAGCTACAAATTTCATTAACTCTATTAGTCAAGATTTTTATAAAAATTTTGGCATCAGTATTAGTTAGTGAAATAGGTCTCCAGTTATTAACATTACTTAAGATTTCTGCTTTTTTAAAAATAAGTATGATTATGCTTTTGGACCATGATTTAGAGATAGTGCCTGTTTTTAAACAGTAGTTAAAAAGATCTGTAAGTGCAGAAATAATCTCTTCTTAAATATCTTTATTGAACTTGTAGCTAAGGCCATCTGAACTGGAGCCTTGTTGTTAAAAAGAAAGATCAGTACACTTTTAACTTCATCTTCTGTAATATGTTTTTTAAGTAATATGTTTTGCATTATCATAATAGGAGTAAGGTTCTGGGTGAAAAAATTATTCTTATCTTGACTAATTTTCTCGGCTCTGTATATATCTTAATAAGTATTTCTTATATATTGAAGTGTTCTATTAATATTGTCTGGTTCAAAGTTGTTTGATAGAGAAATTTTTTCTTTTGCTAATGATGTATTTTTAATTTTGTATTGTATGAAGAAAAATTTTGTTGATTTTTCTCCTTTTTCTATCTATTTAGCATTGGATCTAAGTTGCCATTTCTCAGAAAGAGTATAAAGCTCATCCTGAAGTTGTATACTAAGGCCTTCTTTTGCTTTAAGAAGATACTCTGAGCTTTCTTCCTTAGCCAATTTGTTGTTTAGTTTAGTTAGTTCTTTTTGAAGCTTTTGTGTCTTTTTCTCTAGTACAAAAGGAGGCCTAAAGGCTCTGATTATCAATTGTATTTTGCATTTAGATAAATCCTATTTTGAGAAGTCTGCAAAGTTCTTTATCTTCTCAACTACTTCTGTTTGTAATTGTTTATTATGCTAGCAATTTCTGTTGAATCTCTATTGTTTGGCTCTAGGTGACTCAGATGTGAAGTTTAGTTTACATTCTATCATTAGATGATCAGAGTTGCCAAACTGTATGGTAGTATATTTACAGTATTGACTGTAATTGGCATCAATAAAGATGTAATCAAGCCTCATAGACATACTACGATTTCCTCGTATGTTCTGGTGATAAGTAAGAAAAGGTTCTTAGTTGTTTAATAGTAATACTGTATCGATCAGATCTGATGTAATTTTTTTTAGTAATTTTCTTGAAAGATCATTAGCAGTTGGTGCATGGCTAATGCAATTTTTTTGTAGATTCAGATTTGTATTGAAGTCACCTACTACTATGTTAATGTGTTTTTCATTAACTTGCAGGTTCCAATTATTAAAAAACTGTACTCTGTCTTCTGTATTTAAAGAAGCATATATGTTGTTTAATTGAAAAGAGTATTGTTTGTATATGAGGTTTGCTGATATTACTTGTCCATGATAGGATTCTTTAATATTTTTCAGCTTTAATTCATGGTTTCCTGTAAGTATTGCTATTTTGAAGGTCCAGTAAGAGTCAAACCCCCATATTTGTTTTAAAAAGTTTCTTGTATAGATATTTTCTAAGTTAGTTTCCTGGATCATAATTATGTCTAAGTGGTATGATTTTAACAGTATAAGTGTTTTGAATGCTTTTTCTTTGTTGTTCAGTCCTTTGATATTTAGTGATGCAATTTTGATTTTTTTAACCATTAAAAAATAATTTAAAAAAAGTAGAGGTTGAGTTATGCCTATTGCAGTCCTCTGGCTTTTGTATAGGGAGCTGATGTTTTTAGGACTGTAGTTCTTCCCACTTTCAGTATTGCAATTCTGCTTTTATTTTTATGCTTTTTTCTAAAAACTACTATAAAACCTTGTTCATTCTCTTTATCTATAGGATCAGTATTGTTTGCCCATACATTGTTGTATAGACTTGCAAGTGAGTCTACTGGTACATTTTTATGTTTCATATTTGGTTTGTCCTCAGTTGATTCTATTTGATGTTCTAATTGACTTTCTTGTTCACTGTTGCTTGTTGATATCTCTATGTCTGATGTTGTTTCATTTTGCATTACAATGTTTTAATCTTTTGTATTCATTGTTTCAAGTTTTTTTATAGAGTTGTTTATAGTATTTTTGTTTTTTAGTTCCTTGTTTGCTTAGGGATTTTCTGAACTAAATTCAAAAGGTTCCTCTATGCATTGTTGGTCTGAATTTTCTCTTGTTTCTTTAGTTTATTTCACAGTTTGTGTAGGTTTCTAGCCTCAACTGAGAGTTTGTAGTCTGGGCAGTCTTTTTTATATGATCTGCTTTGTCACAGAAGCACATCTTTGGGGCCTCTCTCCAGTCAGTAATAACTCTGTGGTCCCAAACATGTATAAATCTAGAAATTCAACTTGTCAAATCTGGGTCATCTGTTATTTCAAAGATTACAACCTACTGGTCTAACATTATAAAGGTTTCTTTGTGGATCAGTGGTTTAATCGATGAGATTATGCCAATTTCTTGAAATGCTTCTCTAATCTACTCTGAAATAAATTCCTTTTTTCCTATTGGTGCATTTCGAATTCTGACTAATAGAAAGTTGCATCTGATGTTTATAGAAATATAACCTTGTAAGGTCTATTTAAGATCATAACACCTTCAACTGCATATTGCTGTTGTTTGTTTTCATCTAAAAATGCAATCTCTAAATAGGTTCTTTTGTTTTTGTTAATTACTAACTGGGTTGCAACCAGGTCTTCTCCCATTTCTTGTTTTAAAGCTTCTATGATTCTTGTAGTAGAGATGTTTTCTAAACTAAATAATTTAAAGATTAGTGCATTTTTATTTTTGGTAATAATTTTTTTTCGTGAAAAATAGGTAAAGTATGTGGCTTTTTTTCTTTCCAATTTTGAGAAAACATCAGACCACTGTTTCAGTTTGGTTTGTTTATCCTAGGCTTCTGATTGGTTGTTTATGTGATTGGATGTAAGCATCTCACATGTTGTTTGTTTTGTTTGTTCATTTGAAATTTGATCTTTATTGCTCGAAGAAGCAACTAAAGACAAGTCTTCTTCTTTATGTTCTGCTGTTTTATTCTTCTGGCCTTTAGAAGTTTCTATAGTAACCTCTGGCATATTTTCTTTTTCCTGTTTTTTCTTAGTAATAAGACTATTAGATCTATTGTTTTCTTTTTGGTTTATTTTTTTGTTTACATCATCAGAGCCAAGACTAGACTTAACTTTAAGGCTTGTAATTTTGGTTTTTTTATTTTGGTAACTCGTTAATACTAAACTAGACATAGTTAAACAAGCTTGTTTTATTTTTCTGAGCACAAGGGTTTTAGCTCTTGTGTTGTTTTTAGTAGATTTTTTCAATAAAGGTTTAATAGTTTTTGTTTATTTTGTTCTCCACTACTGAATGTAGATGAAGAGAGTGAGAGTTTTTTTTTTATTCTTAGTTTGTATTATCTTTATCTAACTATTACTATATACAATATTAGAGACTTTAATAAACTTATAAAAAGTAAACCTAACAAAACTATTGCTTTAATTATAATATATTTATTGCAAGCATTACAGAAACTAAAATCTCTAACTAAACTAATATCTTTTTTTATAATAATAATTTCTTTACTTATAACTGGTCTAATTTTTTTATTTTTATGAAAATATTGCTATTAGAATTTACAATCATTTTAAACTCATGTTTATAGTAATTATACATAATATTAATATTAAGAGTTTTATATATTTTTAATTATAACTTTTAATGCATCAAACCAAATTGGATGAAATAACTATCATTAGATTCAGCTTACTAAGATGGTTCTAATAAGTACAATATTATATAATTCTAATCATAAAATTATAAGATCAGATCAATTTTAATGAAAATACTAATTTTAATACATGTGTCATTATTCTGATTGGCTCTTATTACTGTGTTAGAAATTTATCATTTATATTATTTCTATTAGATCTATTAGTTCTACCAGATCTATTATTCTATTAGATCTATTATTTTTATTATTTCTATTATAGCTACAATATCTTTTATATCTATTATATATACAATATCTATTATATCTTTTAGTTTATATATATATTAACATTATTATATATAGTATTTATTAGCAATAAAGTAGTTTTTATTGTAATTATTTATATATATATAATATTTATAAAAATACTGCTTTCTGACTCTTCAAAAAAGTTAAGTATTTTTATACATTTTATAGTTAATAAGCTGAATGCAATATTTAAAATCTTTATATACTATCTATTATTATATCTGCCTTAAAATCTTAAATTACACTTGTTAAGTTTTGTTGTAAACTTTGTATAGAATCTGTCAAGTTGTAGTCTTCATATTATAGTTGAACAGCTTCTGTTATCACTATAGTAATAAAAAAACTACAAATTAAAAAGATTTAAAAAATACTATAGCAATTAATATTTTTTTAAAGTAATATTAAGCTTAGTTACTTGTTATTAACTAATATCTCTATCTATATCTAAATACAAAATATAGTAATTAACTAGATTCAACAAGCTTCTCAAATTCATATTCATTTTATTATTTTGGGTGATTTTAATATATAAAATAATAGATACAGCTTTTTTTTAAATATAAACTTATTAATTTTCTTAATAATTCTAATATATATAATATAAAATCTTATAAACACTTTATCTAATCTAATAATGCTAATAGTATTCATATTAACTACATTTAAACTAACTAATTTAATATAAAATTTTTTTTTCTTTTAGTCATAATAACAGCCAAACTTTTACTTTCAGTAATTACTTAATTTTTCTTTTATTTAAATATTTTTACATATCTATGTAAACTTTTATATAAGCATACTGACATTATTACTATATCTTTAATTACAAATATATCTACAAAGAACTAAAACTTCTTTGCAAATATTCTATTTTAACAACTTTATTGCACAGAACTTTTCTTAATAATGAAATTTATAAAAGTATTAAAACTACTTAATACAAAATTTAATATTTTATTATTTATATTATTATTTGTACTATTTCTAATAAAGCTTCTTATAAACATAGTTATAATTATAAATATCCATTCTACAGTATTCTATTATATTTATTCTTTAAAATACTTAGCAAATTATCAAACTTATTAAAAACTTATCTAATGTTTTAATATTTTTAGCATTAATTAAAACATCTTTTAAATTAATAAACAGTTATAATATAACCTTTAACTACTTATATTTACTAACCTATCTTGTATCCAATTATGGCTTCAATATGCTTATTCAATTTAAAACAACTTTTTTATACTTGTTATCTTAAAAATTCTTTTTTATTCTAATAGCAAATTAATTAAGTTACTAATAAAAGATATATTACTCTTATAATATATTTTAATTAGTCTAACAATAACATACTTAACTGCTACCACCAACTTGTTCACTTTTTTAATATCAAACTATCTAATTAATTTATTACTAATTTATTACTTATTAAGCAATATGTTTAATCTTACTTTTATAATTTGACTACACTTAAACCTATTAACTATATTTTTTTTAACAACTTTAGTAACAATATTATTTTTTACTCTATATTAATCCAATCAGATACAAATTTTTTTTTTGCTTTTATTAAGACTGTGGTTATTAGCAGCTACTGCTTTTATTATATTTTAATTATAATTATATAAATTATCTCTAAGCTAAAATAAATAATTAGTAGCAGCATATATATAATTAATTTGAAAATAAAAAATATACATTACTTAAATAAACTTTTTATAATTATGTGTTGCAATTTTTCAATAATACTGTTAAAAAACAGAATGTATTAAAGTTTTTAGTGGCTTATTTACTTCTTTAATAATTGCATCAAGCCTTTGATATTGCTCATAAATTTTAGATAAGATACAACACAGATTCTTTCTATAATATTATGAATTTTAGAATAAAGTTGCATTAATGAAATTTTATTAGCAACTTCTATTAAGTGATAAATTAAATAACATCTTGCTGACCAAATTAGAGAAAATGTTTATTTAACAGCTCTTTTTAAAAAAGAATTATTGGTTTTTATAAACTTTCTGTAATTAACTATTAGCTAAAAGTAAATAAATATATTTTTTTAAAAAAAAAGTATGCAATAATAAAAATTTGCTAATATTTTATCTGATATAATGGGCTTTGTTGTTCTTTAGCCTATATAAAATACTCTTTAACAGATAGGTCAGAGTTGCTTTTTACATATAGCTATAATAGTTTCATAACTATAGCTTAATAATATATATTACAAATAAAATCTCAAGACTTGTGATAGTTTGCACATTTTTTAAAATAGAAGAGTAATTCTTAGTTAAATAGTCTTGACATATAGCATAACATTTCAAATCAATATTTCTATAAGTTAAAAAAAATTAAAAGCTCTTCTAATATATATGTTTTGGCTTTAAGAAAAAAATTAATATATGAGAAAAATATACAAAATTCAAATATGAAATTGGCTTCAACTGATTTTTTGATTATTAATTAGAAAATGTTAGGTAAAATATCAAAATATCAATTTAACTAAAACATTACTTATCAGTTTAATTCTACATATGCTTAAACATATTTATTGCTTCATATAATTGTTTTAGTATAAAAACTAACTAGAAGAATTTTTTTTTAATTTCATAACATAACAATAAGAAACACTATCACAAATAATAACAACCCACTTGTGCATTTTATCTTTAATGCCTAATATTTTTTCAATATGTAAAAGAATCTTCTTTATATTTACAAAAAAATTAAGATTAATGTTAATAAGGTCAGAAATATAAATCTCTAAATTATTAATCCTTAAATCAGTAACTTTTTGTTAAATTAAACTAATCTTAGAAGCATACATATTAATTTGTTTTTTATTAATATTGTAAGGTTTAAAAATAAAAGAGTTGTTTAATTAATCAACTATACTACTTTTGGCTTTAACTATTTTTTCTTTTTGTATTTCAGCTAATTATAATAGTAATATTTTGCATTCTAAATATATCTTTTTATAATTCTTAATATTTTGTTAATTACAACAGAAATACATTTTCATATTTGTTACTTTAGTTATTGTAGAAGCTACAAAAAAATCAATAATATTAGTAGAGGATAACCTTTCTTTAAATAACAAATTAAGAATTTATACAAGTTAGGCATGTAACTTCTTATTGACAATTTTATGTATTTAAGAGCTGATATTGAAAAGCTCTTTATACTAATATCTATAATGAATTTAACATGCCTAAGGTAAATTAATATGTTGAATTCTATTTTGCAATGCTATATTAAAAGTAACAAAGCTGATGACAATATAGTAAACTACTGTATTAGACTCTCAATTGAAATAGTTTTTTTGTCTCTTTTGCTTATTGTCAAATATAAAGAATAAAAGGCCTTTGGGCAATAGCTCATTATGATTTAATAATTCTTTAAGCCATTTTTGAAATCAATAATAATTTCCAGAACTTATAATATAGTTGTCATTATTTTTGATCATAAAATTGAACATTTAATAGCTGAAGTAATAAGTTAAATTTCAGATATATATGTTTAATATCATGCACTATATATTGAATTAATTGTAACAGTAGTTTTAAAAAGTTTTTTTTAACTCAAAATATCACTGTTTCAATTATTCTAAATCAGAGTTTCAATAACTAGACAGCAACTTATTTAATATTGTTAAATATTAAAAATAACTATAAATGCCATTTTGTAAAATATTTAATTAAATAATTTAGTTATTTAAAAAAAACAAATTTAATACTAACTTGATTGTATTTATTAAACATTTATGTAGGCTATATATTATAAGATTTTCTAAAGAGAACTTATCACTATCTTAAATTAGTTGCTCTAAATCTTTGAGTAATGACTTACATTCTGCTTTTGCTATTTTAACAATTGCATTAATATACTTTTATTGATTATTATATCAGAAGTTTTACTGTATAACAAATGTATTACTGATTCTAAGTTGTACTTTATACATATTATGAGCTATAATCTTATTATTATAAATTCTTTACAATTGATTTTTTAATTTAACTATTTTATTTCTTTGATGTTCTAAAAAATTATAGGTTATAATTGTATTGTCATAAGCCTTTTGTAACTGATTTTTCAATTTAACTATTTTATTTTCTTGATTTTTTAATCTCTAATGAGCAAGCTCT